TGTGTGCTGATAACAATTGTGTTGCAGTTTTTGATAAAAACTATTTTTTTGTTAAGGACAAAATTTCGGGGGCAGTTCTTCTTCAGGCGCGTCATAATGGACATCTTTACCCTATCAGTCTCACTTCCTCTGCACCTGTAGCTTTAGCCACTATTACTTCTCCTGGCCCTGTGTGACATCGTAGATTAGGACATTGTGGTGAAACTATTTTGCGCGTGTTGCGTCAAAGAAAACTTATTTCTAGTTCGTCTACTTTTGAACATGATTGTGTTTCTTGTCGTTTGGGTAAATCTCAACGGTTACCTTTTTCGGATGCTAGTCATAACTCTTCTGCTCCATTACAATTAATTCATTCTGATGTATGGCAATCACATGTTCTATCTAATTTAGGTTTTAAATATTATGTGTTCTTTATTGATGATTTTTCTCGATTTACCTGGATATATCCTCTGCGCACTAAAAATGAAGTCTTTCATCAATTTAAAAATTTTAAACTTTTAGTTGAAAATTTGTTTAACTCTAAAATTAAAATTTTTCAAAGTGATGGAGGGGGTGAGTTCGTTAATTCTCATATGCACCAATTTTTAGCTGATAATGGCATCCTATTTCAAAAGTCTTGCCCAAATACTCCTCAACAAAACGGTGTTGCTGAATGCAAACATCGTCATCTTTTAGAATTTGCTAGAACTATGCTTATAACAGCCTCTGTTCCTAGCACCTTTTGGGTTGATGCAATTTTTACTGCTGCATATATTATTAATAGGCTTCCCACTCCTAACCTTAATGGTGTTTCCCCATACGATATTCTTTTTCAAAAACCACCTGATTATAGTTTATTACGTGTGTTTGGGTGTTCTCGTTATCCAAAATTTTCTGCATCTTCTTCCAATAAACTTTCTCCTCGCTCTGTCCAATGTGTTTTTCTTGGCTATGCGTCCGAATTTAAAGGATATCGTTGTTTGAGCCTAAGTCTGGCAAAGTTTTTATTAGTAGACATGTTCGTTTTCATGAAAATATGTTTCCATACACCACATTGTCTTCTTCTACAAGTACCACTCCCTCTTCTTCTCCTCCTATTGAAAATGAATTTACTATTCCCACCACCACCTCCCATAGCTATATTCCCCAATCCACTACCCTCCTACAACCTGCTGCCCAAACCATGCCTGAAACTACATGCCCAACCGTGCTCCACACTCCCAGACCAGCCATTCACACTTCAACACCTCATGTGACCTACCCATCCCCAATTACCCCATCCGCAAGCCCAGCTCTCCCTTTGACTCCCAGTTTAACATCCGCACAAGACCCAAATCCCAGCTCCACATCCGCATACCCAGCTGTCCCCCTGACTGCTCCCATTGTTTCAGTCCCCACCGACCACTCGTCTGCTATATCCACGGAGGCCGTACCTTTGCCTTCTGTTAGTCATGATGCCACAATTAATACTCATCCCATGCAGACGAGGGTGAAGTCGTGAATTTTTAAACCAAAACCCATTTTTAATTTAAACACAATTGTTTTATCAGCTGATCCTACATGTTTTTCAGAGGCTAATAAACAGTTAAAATGGCGTGTGGCAATGGCTGAGGAATTTAATGCTCTTATTTCTAATAATACTTGGGATTTAGTGCCTTTTGATCACACTAAAAATGTCGTGGGCTCCAAGTGGATTTATAAGACTAAGTATAATTCTGATGGTTCTATTGAGCGCCATAAAGCACGTCTGGTTGCTCAAGGTTTTAATCAACAGGCAGGTGTAAATTTTTCTGAAACTTTTAGTCCAGTCATCAAACTCACCAATGTTCGTATTGTACTTACTTTAGCTGTTTCTTTTGGGTGGGTAATTCGACAATTGGATGTCAAGAACGCCTTTTTGCATGGTTACCTCACCGAGGAAGTCTATATGCGTCAGCCGCGGGGTTTCACTCATCCTTTGTTTCCTAATCATTTATACCGATTGCGAAAAGCCATTTATGGTCTTAAGCAAGCCCCGCGGGCATGGTTTCACCGTTTTAGCAGTTTTCTTTTATCTCATCATTTTACATGCAGCAAGTCTGATAATTCTTTATTCGTTTACCGCCAGAATAATAATGTCATTTATTTATTATTATATGTAGATGACATCATTATTACTTGTAATTCTTCCGTTGCTATTAATTCTTTCATCCAGCTTGTTGCTAAGCATTTTGCAATGAAAGATTTGGGTGATCTTCACTATTTTCTAGGAGTCCAGGCTAAGCGTAACACTAAAGGTTTGTTTCTCTCTCAGCATAAATATATTTCTGATCTTCTCTCTCATTTCCATCTCCACACTATTAAGTCTATTCGTACCTCGCTTGCTACTCGCACTTCTCTATCCCTTACTGATGAGGAACTCCTTGCAGATGCCACTGAGTACAGAAGTATGGTTGGTGCGTTACAGTATTTAACTTTGACACGACCTGATATTACCTATGCTCAGCATTTAGTGTCTCAGTTTATGCATGCCCCTCGAACTACTCATTTGTTTGCAGACAAGCGTATATTCAGGTACTTGCAGGGGACACTTGATCATGGATTATGGCTTCAGCCAACTACTCAGGCCACCTGTGTTATTGCCTATTCAGACGCGGACTGGGCAGGCTGTCCAGACACTTCTCGTTCCACGACAGGGTTTGCAGTATTTTTGGGACCTAACCTGGTCTCGTGGAAGTCCAAAAAACAGCCTACCGTTTCCAAGTCTTCTACAGAAGCAGAGTATCGAGCTGTTGCCTATACTGTTCAGGACACATTACACATTCGTTCCGTTCTGTTTGAGCTTGGTTTTCCAGTTACAGTTCCAGTTAGGTTATTTTGTGACAACATATCTGCTTCTTATTTGACTGCGAATCCTGTTCAACATGCTCGTAGCAAGCACATCCAGATAGACTATCATTTTGTCAGAGAACGTGTGGCTCATGGAGATTTAGTCGTGAAGTACATTCCTATACAACTACAGTTAACTGATATTTTTACTAAAAGTCTTTCTAGTCAGCAATTTCATTTCTTAAAGGACAACCTGCGCGTTGTATCTCCCGCACAGTTTGAAGATGTGTAATAGAATATTATTAGGCTTATTTGTTGCCTAATATGTATTAAACTCCTTTACTATAAATACAAAGGCCAGGACTCCTATTGGAGTACCTTTTCCCATTAATTCTCACGGGAGGGAGTATTAGGTTTCAGTTTGAGTTATCACATGATTTTTTCTCATTCAAACAATCCAAAAACAACTCGGTTGTTAGATTAATCCAAAATTCTGAGAACCTTGTTGGTGCGGGATGATGTCATGCTGATGTGACCCATGTGCTTGCTTGTCTAAATTCTTGCGAAATAAATTACTACTATATTTTAGAAAGTAAGCATATTTAATCATATTTTAGAATTTTACTCTACATTTTCCTCCTATTTTGAGCAATTGTTATCTATTTATCGCCTCAAAATCCCCGATGTAAGGAATTAAGGATCAAAACATTCATTGCAAGTGCTTTTGACTCCTAACTCAACACCTAATATACAAAGGAATATTTATCCAAATAAGATCAAAACAATGCTCATCATTTTCATTTACCTCAGTGTCGCAAAGGCTCCCACCTACGGTGGGGTAAGGGGATCGGATGTACGCAGTCTTACCTCTGTACTAAAGCACAATGAGAATGTCTCCGGATGATCCATAGTGAAAATTCCGTCCAAAATTGCATGGACTGACTGCTGCTTCATAACAAAGAAGCGCAGACAGTTTAGTGAGTCATTTTGCTTTATTCCATCATAATCTCAAGCCAAGAAATAATGAATCTTTGGCTCCATTGCAAATGATGGAAAAGATCAAAACAATGTTATTTTTCTTAAATTAAGACTCAATGTTTAAAATTCCATGATTTTTTTTAATTTTTTTTGTACATAAATATCATAATAGGGTTGGAGCAATGTTGTCCCCAGGTCGTCTGGCCGTTTGCTTACGACAACTGGTCGTTACCATTGGACTGCTTGTCATCAATAACTGGATTTTTGTCTAGGTCATCGTCACGGATCTGTCAGAATGTCGTCGCTGTCGAAGTTCTACATTGCTGATGGAGTTTGATGTCGCGTCATCAGACTAGTTCGCCACCGACGAACTCGTCTTGGTTATGCAAGAGAACTAGAGGTGTAATTAATTATAAAAATGAATTAAATTAAGAATATAGATGGAATGTTTTGTCCTATTTAAAGAACACTAAACATATGAATATATGATCCTACTTTTGAAAAATTCATGTATGGTATGTTGTACTTGCGTCGTCTCATTTTCATGTCCTACTTCCCTTTTTGGGTTGTCCCATAATAAGTGTCACATTTCTTTCCTTGAAAAAAAATATGTGATCTACAATATTTCACTTTATTAATAATTATGTTGAATCAAAGTGTAATACATAAAATGGGACGGAACAAATGTAATACTTCCCCCATTTTTTTTAGTTGCAACATTTTCTTTTTCACGTATGCCAACACACAATTGTGATCATCATTATATCTAATTCTGTAGTAGTAAAATAAATTTAAAATCAGATTACGAAACTTATTAATGAGATGCATTCAAAAGTATTTCTCAAAAAATTACATACATTAATAAATAAAATATAGTCAAAATAGAGTACATGTGTAACAATATTTCTAAAAAAAATCACATACATTAATAAATAAAATATAGTCAAAATAGAGTACATGTGTATAAGTTACAATGTTGCAACTAATACTATATGGAGGAGGATAGTTGACGTGTTTGGCATTTATCGGTTAGCGGATAGCTGGTTGTCAATAGCTTATTCAGTCAGCATGTTTGATTAGAGGAATAAGTTGACGGGTTGTCAGAAAATGTTTGATAAATTAGCTGTTTGGCCATAAAATTAGTAAAAAACGCTATGTTTCAAAAAGCTGATCCAAAACACTCATTTTTCCAGCATTTTTATTTCAACTTTTCAGTCCAAAAACGCTAATGGATACGAAGTATTTATTAAAAAACTTTTTCATTGAAGCGGCATTGAATACAACCATGGTATGTTTTAGTCCTACCTGAATGTGGATTTAGGATAAGCCATCAAAATCGAAGGGCGGCTGAAGCGAACGCGTGGATCCGGTTCGTCTATCCGTTCCTTTGCATTAAATCTCCTCCTCCTTGCTCTGGAAATCAGTCAATCCTCCTCCTACATGACGTCAGCGATGGCTTTCTCTGCAGTTTTCTCAGCACCCATGACCTTTGGCTCCTTCACATCTGCCAAGCTCAACTCAGTCTCCAGTTTCCCTCCGTCAGTTGCGTTTCTTTCTTCAAAATCGTCCTTTTTCCGTAACGCGCCTTTTCTCCAATCCTCCGTATTCTCTGCCCCTCTTTTCAAGTCCAGACTCTCCGCAAATATATGCTCCAGAGCTGCCACTGAGAAGTCCGTTCATGATTTTACCGTCAAGGTATCCTACCTATTTATGCTTTACTTAAACTATGGAATTATATTAGTTTTGTTTTCAATCAAAATATCTTCTGGAAAGTGGCACGCTTTTGTGTCTTTATTTATTTCCAACCGGAGAGCTGAATTGTATTTGTGTTGTTTGGATTACATGTGGAAATGTTAAGACCTCTCTTATATACTACGTACCTTTTTGGTAGTCCTGTACTCTTGTTAAATTGGAATTGAAATCTTTTATCCCACTTTTTATATCCCAGTGATGTATCACTACTTATGATTGGTTGATAATTTGATATAATACTATTAATTAATAATAGCTACTTTGTAATCATGATTAAATAGATATGCATCAACCAATTGGTATATCACTGTAACATGTTTTTATTGTTCAATGCAGGACAGTGATGGGAAAGGCGTTTCACTAAGTAAATATAAGGGAAAGGTTCTCTTGATTGTAAATGTTGCTTCAAAATGGTTCTCTCTCTCTCTCTGCATATGTGGTTATTAGTGAACGTAGTGTGTAAATATAAGGATTACACAATCCTCCTTACTGAAATTTTGCTTTCCACCTTGGCTACTTATCTGACTTGCATTTTTGTTTTTGTTTTTGTTTCATTCTAGTGGTTTAACAAATTCTAACTACTCCGAACTATCTCATCTATATGAAAAGTACAAATCTCAAGGTGAGATGCTTTTTTTGATGTGTAACTTGATATACTGTTTTCTTGTTCCCCACTGATTTGACAGTTATTTTCGAGATGTAGGATAAGAAGGATTGGTGGATTGAGGGGTTTTATCATTTGACCTTCTTTGAGTCGGCAACTGTTTCTTATCTTTGATCTTTTGTTTCATATTGAGACTCATAGAATTTAGGATTGTGTTGGGTTGTGAAGCAATTGGGTCAAAGCACACCCATCTAATTAGTGTAGGAAATAAACTTGATCACTCTGTTTGTTACCTTGTTACTTTGCTTCTACTTGTGTGTAAGTATAAGTATAAGTATTTCTAACAATTAGCTAATCTAATTCAATGCCTTAATCTAATCCCAGTCCAGGGACTAATTGCGCCTTGGCAGGATTTTTACAAAACCGATTCAAACATAGGGGAACTCTAGGACAACGTACTCCAACTATAACATTGTTCTTTTTTTTCTTTTCTTTCAAACTCTTAAAAGCACTTACTCCTCCGTCTTGCAAACATGTTTATGGTTTGACCTCCACACATATTTTGCAAGATAAAGTAGTTATTTGGAGTCTCTAATAATACCCCTACTTTAAGAAATGAGAAATTCATTTGGTGACATCCAAACAAGGAAATTGGGAACTTGTTTTCAGGAGGGAGGCAGTATGTGATATTTCTATTTATGGAAAGATTATATTATCAAAACATCATACATTTCTGTTTGGCCGGTCATACATGATCAAAACTTAGATAATCCCAAACCCTGCATCCTCTAGGGACTTTTCCAGAAATCCTCATTTCCAAACAACTGGTTGTGATAATACTAGTTTGATTCCATTTATACAGGATTCGAAATTCTTGCTTTTCCTTGTAATCAGTTTGGTGGGCAAGAGCCAGGATCTAATGAGGAAATAAAGCAGTTTGCTTGCACCAGGTTTAAAGCTGAATTTCCAATTTTTGACAAGGTTGGTTTTAGTGAAATTTTCTAATATGCCATGTTAATAGAATTTTCAGTGTATAAATAAGTTCATGATAACAGGTTGATGTAAATGGGTCAAACACAGCACCAGTTTACCAATTTCTGAAAGCAAGCGCTGGAGGATTCTTAGGTGGTCTGATCAAATGGAACTTTGAGAAGTTCCTTGTGGACAAAAATGGGAAAGTAGTGGAAAGATATGCACCAACAACTTCTCCTTTTCAAATAGAGGTATTTGCTTACACCTCATATAACTCATCCCTAGAAATATCTTCAAGGGGTGAGGTTTACCTCATTACCTCATAATTGCATATTCCCTCTTTTAGCTAAACTTGGCCAAGTATGACTAGCACATGAAACAAAAAAATAAATATTGTGGTTGAGTTATGTGTAGAGGGGTGGGAAATTGTATTACCCACTTAACATGTCTCCTCAACCCAAACTGGATTGGATAATTTGAGGGTTAATGTACGGGTCAAATTGACTAACAGTAAGGCTAACCTGAGTCATGGGTGCCAAAAAACAAACAAACCACAATTAAATCACTCTTTGATACGATATTAAACTAGGTCTAATGCAGCTCCTAATGTTTTGGGGCATCCTGACAATTATATACCTGGGCTCATCCCCACCATTGTATACAAAGCTCCATTTTTTATCAGTTTTTGTTCCCAACCAACTTTCCCCGTCCTTCTATCACTCTTACTCAGAAAAGGTCTCGCAGTCTAATGGATCTTTCTGTTCTAATAGCTGAGTTTTCAATATCGATAGAAATTCTTGAGTTCAACATGAATAAGTACCCCCCGGAGGCAACGAGAGTATTAAACAAAAATATTATAAACATCTGTTATGTGACAGTTAACCGTAATAGTCTTTTAATCTCTCCATGCTAGCTTTTCTCCACCTCAACTGTGAAACCCCTTGAGGTCCTACCCTTTCACTTGGAGTTTATTTGTAGTCCATAATTGTAAAACAAGTCTTTGATTTTTGGAGTGACTCATGACAGATTTACTTGTCTTATCTCTTAGCAACCATCTGATAAACTATGGTGCGTATGTTAATGTTGCTGGCAATTTCTAGACAGGGAAGTATTTTCCCATGGTTCTAGGACTGGAGTGTCGCGCTCATTTCTTACCCATGTGTTGAAACTTGAAACATAAGTAACCAAAAAACTGCTATTTAATTAGAGAACAATGCCTTCGAAAGTGGCATAGGGTGAAAAGGGATGTAAAGAGTAGTGTTGTAGTTGAAAATATCTACCAAGATGTCGATTCAGTTTGCCTTTTTGAGTTTTCGGATTGTTTTACCTAGACACTTCATCGCTTCCTTCACAAAATTAGTGCTTTACATGTTTGTTGTGGGGCTTGTTGGAAACCACCTACCTTTGAGAGCGAACCAGTTTTGCCTGTATTTATTCCCTTCAATCCCTCCCCCTCAATCATAACAGAACAAAATATGAAGCTCCTCACTGACTGACCCCATTGATTTGGGATTGATGTATGAAACTCCAGTTTTGCCTGTATTTATTCCCTCCACTCGCTCCATTTTTGTTGTTATCGTCAAGTCTATTCGACTCGTTGATGTGCGAAACTGGAATCTCTTAACTTGGCAATGAAGCTCCTATAACTATTCATCGTAATTCATAAAGAATTAGAAAAAAGGGTGGGTGAATTTGTGTATGAACTCATCACATTTCTTTTATGAACTCATCAGGAATACCACCCTCTTGTTTATTGCTCTCTAACGTACACTTTTCACTGTAAAATTGTTTTTCTATATGATGTTCCTGGACTAATTATTTTCTTCTTACACAGAAGGATATCCAGAAACTCTTGGTTGTATAGCTTCTAAGCTGTGAACACAAGTCCCGAGGGTTCCAGACAAAAAAAATCCAAGTGACAAAATGGAAGAGAAGCAGCATGGACATCCGTCGTGCCAAGTGATACGTATCAGAAGTAAAGCTTTGAAAGTGGCTGATGCAATGTATACAAGCTGTGTGTGTGGGTGTGTATTTTTGTATGTGTTTTCAGTTAGGGAAATATAAATGGAATGTGTGAACATTGAGGTATTATAAGAGCTTTAGATAATGAAGCATTACATTTATTTACTGCATTAGAATAACATGTCTTTGCTTGCTTGCCCTAGATGTTTTGTTAGTGTCATACTGTCATTAGAAAATTCTTCCCACTTTGATTTGGCACGGAGATTAAGAAAGTGGAATATAGTGGAAATGTGTGGTTGTAGTTGCGTAAGAAAAAAGTGAAATGAATGTGAACCATACAAATTGTCCAAAATGGTAAATGGGAAGAATTTTTTGGGACGGCCCAAAAAGGAAAGTGGGAAGAATTTTATGGGACGAAGGGAGTATCATATTTGCAGTATGACACTAACAAAACATCTAGAACTCGTTTGGTGATCCTATTTTTCGACTTATAAGGTTTATCATTCAACTGTTTCACCAAATACGTAACTTTTGATTTCACGCGTTGAATTGTGTAATAATAAGAAAAAGTAAGGTTGAAGTTACTTTTTCGACTTTATTGGTTGAAATTACTTTAGAAGACTATTTTATCTATTTTTCATATAATTTTTATTTATTTTATTAATATTTTTTAAAATATATTGTTTTTCATAAATCGGCAGAATCAGCCAATCGAGCCACAATTTCGAAAATTTCAACATGATCAGCCGATTCAACTAATTTTAGCATTACGAAACGGACTCCTAAAATTTGTCAAAAAATCAATGGAGAGCATTCCACCAAACATGTCTACTTTTTGGAATAAACAAAGAGCAAACCATGTAATACGGACTTGATAATAATAAACTGATACGTATGAAGAAAAACTTAGAAGAGCATGGTCAAAAAAATACGGAAGAGCATGGTAAAACAAAGAGCACTTTTTTAGAAGAGCATGGTCAACAAAATAATACGGAATTGAGGTGCGCACAACACTTTTTGAGTTCATAATAATACGGAAGAGGAATATGTCCAGCTTTGAAAAAGGTGAGGTGCGTCCAGTCACCAATGGCTCTTTTTCTGGTCTACAATCCTAGGAACGGACTGGACTTTTTCTGTTCGGGCTTGTTATCGGTGTCCGCTGGTCCGGGTCTTGTTCAGTCACCAATGGCTCTTTTGAATATATCCCTAATGGCCGAGAGTAAAAGCGGTTGAAGGGGCATCGCAGCCCTCCTCCAACGGCTCTTCGGACCGTTGGAATGGTTGAGAAGATTTGTAAATATCTTTCATTTTTTCTAGACCATCAAATCTCCAATTCTAATGTCTTCATTAATCTATATATTCTCTCTATTATAATCTTATCTTCAAATTAATTTTATTTACTTCATATTACCTTCGTCTCTTTTTATTTAGTCATCTTTGACTTTTCTATTCAAAGATGATAAATTTTGATCCATTATTTTACCTAATACTCCCTCCGACCTCCAGCCCTATTTAATCTTTCAACTCCAAAATGCACAATATTAAGAAAACGAAACTATTTGACACCGTTTTACACCTCTATTTACCAAATAAGAAAATGGGATTTTTAAAGGACGTCTAAAAAAGTAAATTGAGAATATTAAATAGGGACAAAAGAAGTATATTTATGTAAAACTTAATAAATTCATACTTTTATGTAGTATTTTTAACAAAAAACATTTTCATAGTATCAATATTAACGTGTGTAAATATATAATCAGTCAAAGTTTAACGCAATTGACTTTAAAAATAGAGTTTGGCAAAAAGGGACGGAGAAAGTATATATATTGATATCATTCGTATACATAGACATATTATGTGTAATCTTCTAGTCGAGAATTTCTTCATCAGAGTGTCGTCCTGTTACCTTCATTTGAGGTGTTTCTTGATGGAATTTTCTGGTGAAATATTGTGAGTATCTTCTTCATGAAGTGCATTTTATGTCCACGAAACTGCAACTCAAAATGTAATCATAAAATCAGTTAAACAAATGAATATATATATATATATATATATATATATATATATATATAGGGTTGGGTTCTAATAAGAAGACATCTTAACGTGAGAAGTGAGAAGCTTCACATTGCCTCTTTCTGATGCACTTTTTCGCTAATCTGATGCACTTTTTGCGATGGCAGAAAAGTTATGATTAATTACGGAAATGCCACCGCGTCTAGCATCACTTTTTTGATATTTTTTGCACTTTCCCGTGCACTTTTTTGCTAATCTGATGCACAGATCTTAAATTGAACGCATCAGATGCATTCTCACTTCTTACGATAAGCACTCTTCTCATTTGATCCTTATTATATATATATATATATATATATATATATATATATATATATATATATATATATATACACGCATTTTTTTGATAGTTTATTTAACTAATTTTACGATTGAACTTTAATTCGAATATTTTGGGCATAATCTAAAATTCATGAAAAACACGCTCACAAAAATTCTTTAATGAATTCCACCCGGAAGCAAGTCAAAACTAGGTGGCCGAATTGCATCTCTCTTCGCAAATTCCGGATAGGAATTTTTGTGTACATATTATACTTCATATAATAGTGATTAGAATAGTGATTAATATAGACTATATAATATTGTACAACATTCACAGATTCACTTGTACTAATATTATTCTTTTTTATGTTAAGTGTCGTTCATTTTGGCTTGTACCAATTTCCATTGTCTAAAGATTTTGTATTTGGGAGAAAAAGAAAGCAATGACTATGGTATGCTATATCAAGTATCAACATTCTTTTCATACTAGAAGCAATCAATACACATTCAAGCCAAAATGGAGTACCTTTTTTTAATTATTCTAGTCTTATCTAATGTGTGGCCACACATTAGGGGTAAAAATGGAATACCCAAAATGGAGTACCTTTAGCATTAGTATACAATGGGCCACCGCAACAAAGGTACAATATTTTGGATTTGTTCTCCAAATAGATGAGAAAGTGAATGTAATACATAAGTAGCATTTTTTCACTTTTCAAAGTTTCTTTCAAAGAAACAGATTAATTAATACTCACTTTTCACAAGTACATATCAGATCAGACCAGATATGACTTAACCAGACCAGACTTCGACATTATAAAATACACATAAATCCAAACATTTACCTCACCAAATTTGACCAAGACAGACAAAAAAAATAATCTAATCAAAAAATTCTTGTATAAAGCCAACATCCCGAAACTCTAGTCTTCAAATGTGCACGGGCATTTTGACTCTTAACCAGGTTCATAACTCGGCGGCTTCAAATGTTTCAACAGAGGAAGCAACATTTGTATATTCCGCGTAGTGATTTTTTATCTATGTTCACAAACTCTATGACTACGTCTTAAAATATTTATGTTCTCGTCATGTAGTGTTCAAGCTACTAATGACATACGAAGTACTTTCCATCCTAGTTTATGCTTCTCATATCTCTTTAGGAGTCCAAACAAAGTTTCCATTATATTATAACTATCGAAACTGTATCTCTAGACGTACCTAAATAACCTAATTTAATTATTTTCTGAATAACCGTGTCATTTTGAGTGAGAAACTTAAACTGGAACAGAGGTAGTACGTACTTAGTAGTCAGTATATATATATATATATATATATATATATATAGATAGATAGAGAGAGAGAGAGAGAGAGAGAGAGAGAGAGACTACAAGAGTACAAGCATTCTGGAATCAAGTATAAATTTTTTTAGCAATACTTACAAATGGTGGAAAGGGGTCAACCAGACAAATAGCATCGACCCAAATTTTCAAATCATAGCTGCATTGCATTAACATATCCAACTCGACGAAACCCGTAGTAAAGACAGTACTATGCAGTATGCACCACAGCTAATAATATCAAAACATATATTCAACCCCTAGCATAGCAACACATGGGTTTACTACTTCTATATACAATGATGCACTCTGTAGTCTAAATATGGTTTTACTCCGAACTGCTAGGCTGCTCAGGTATATCCACCAAATCCGTGCGCTGAAATGATTTTGGAGTACAAATCAGAGAACTCGTATGACTGACGCAATTAAATAGCCAAATATAGGAGCTTACATTACCACTAAATAAAAATGCTATCTACCCCCTTCTAAACCCAGTGCATTATCTCACTTTTAAAATAAAAAACCCTTTTGTTTATTAATTTATGTACTTATGTAGACTTGGTTGCCCACCATGAATCATATAACAAATAAAGACCAATGCCTTTAGTTTTAAAATTAGTTTTTAACAACACTGATAGTAAAATATATGTAGTACTACGTATAATAATAACAACAACAACAACAACAACAACAATAATAATAATAATAATTATTATTATTATTATTATTATTATTATTATTTTAGTTTTATAATAATAATAATAATAGTGAAAGTATTAATATCTACTAAATTATTATAATATCATAGTTTTAGTAATAATCAAAATAACGTAATATTATGCAATGCTGATTTTGTTGTACTAAAGTAAGTTCAAGAAAATAGGTTCTTTTTTCCTCCACAAAACGAAACTCCTTCAGTTCTTCTGTCCATATGTATTCTCCCCCCTTCCTTTTCCCATCATCCCAATCAAGTTCCTGGCTCTTTTTCCTTTCTAAATACCCCTTTTCCCATTTTATTAGATACACTTTCCTTTTATCTGTCCCAAAATTTTGACCATTTCACTAATTTGAACCCTACTACTTTTTACTTTAACTTAACATCATCCCAAGAGAACTAGCAACTTTTTACAATTCATAAATATCAAGTTATAGTTGTGACTTGAGAGGTAGACTAACAGAGCGTACCATTCGTTTGCTGATATAAGGCTGTAATTGTATCACACTAGATGATTGGCTCTCAATTTTCCCAGACGACTTGTTTTCAATCTGAAACTCTTTTCTAGATTCCTTCCTACTGCCAGTTTGCCAAACTCTTCCAAAATTGGGAAGCCAATTTGCATCAGCATTTTTCATGACAAGTTCTCCTTTCTTCTCCAACTCCATCTCAAGTTTTCTTTTCTCAGCCCATGCAGCACCAACCCGTTTTGGGTTTAGTTTAGAGCATTTACTCTTTTGACATAAAGAGCCAATGCCATTTTGACCAGACTTTGACAAAGAATCTAACTGATTTTGTTCAAAAGCATGTAACCACGGAGGAGGTGCTCCAGAATGAACATTCCCTATGATCGCTTCTTGTGCTGATATAGAAATTTCTATAAGTTGTGCCCAAAAATAATAGGAAAACAGACAAATAATACATAAACAAGAAGAGCAAAAATGTCTATTGTCTAACCATCCAATGCGTTGGTACCAGACAGTGAGACAGACAACATATGTAGACCCCCAAAATATATACTCTAATACTCATATAACACTCGAAACAAAAAAAAAATAGTTTAATGTAGACATATGTCATAAAGGAAGCGATGAAAATGTGTGTGTGTGTTTATTTATGTAAAATAACTGTCAGTCTCCGAAAAAATCAATATTCCCATATAAAGTAGGTAACATTTTAAATGTTTTCAGCTTTTAATAAATATTAAGACCAAAACAGTGCCGGAGTATTATTTGGGAATTGTAGTATATACACAGCAAAGTAGACAGCAGCAAACAACATACTAAAAACGAAATGTGGAAAAAAAATGTGGAACACGAAACCAAAGTTATGCGAGAACAAAAATATGTGACCAGAAGCATTTTGTGTTTACCCAAAGATAGGGTTCCCTCTTTAGCTTTTTTCTCATTCAGGGGTGCCTGTTATCACCACAAGCCAAGATAATAAATTCACTAATATGAAAAAAGCAACCATTGCTAAATTCTAAAGGAGAAAATCATCATAACTGCAAAACGATGGGAGCTAAAGCAGCAGATTATTAGCCTTGTTATTCCATCTGCTATGAACTACAACAGTATTTACAAGATCATTTCTTTTGAAGCGATATGTGCCACATTTCTTTGGTTAAAAACGCGATCTTACCAAAATTAAATTGGTATATGGCATTATGGTTTATACAGCCTCCTCTTTCATGCAAGGCCTAACTATGGTAGCACATATTAAACACTGTTGCAATAGTTATCCCACAAGCTGAAGCATACATGGAAAACACACAAAAAAAACGTGTGCATATCCATCCCATAATGTCAGATATATTTTGCTTTTGACAAGCTAATAAGGAGAATAAAGATGGTGTTAATTAGTTTACAAGTTCTCTCTTTTCAAATACTGAAAAATGGGGTCTACAAGAAAAGGTTGAATCTATGGATGAAAAGAATAGCTAGCAAAAAAAAAAAAAAGTGCAGTTCAAATTAGATGTAGCATTATTGGGACATAGATACGACGACACCCTCTGAAGAATGGGTAATCCTTTATGGCATAAATTCCCATACCAGGCAGGTTCTTTTTGGTAATAGGTAACCCCAGGTAGTCGAGGCTTACCAAACATTATTTTTTTATGTTGTTTTTTGGGTATGATACGGAGTGGGTATAGTAGGGTGCAAAGCAAACCGCGCAAGGGTAAAACCTTTTATGGTCCTTATGGATATAGCCCCCTACCACAACTGGCTAGTGTAAACGAATCAAATAAACACAAAGAGACAGGAGGTAGAGCCCACACATTCAAAAATCAATGTTATCATCATATACTTCGTATTTATTAACTTCAAAAGGAAAAAACTAAACTAACCCCTGTCATGTGAAAGAGAAACAAGAAGGAAAAGTATTAAAGAGAGATTGGTAACATACAAAGCCATTAATGAGAGGATGAGAAGATAAGTTTGCAGTTCCAAACGATGGTGTAGATTGTCCAGCAATCCCATACCCTGCATCAAGTACAGGAAAAGAAAATTATTATGATCATGTTCATTCAGAACACCACATGCAATGCTATAATTAAAATAAGAAAATGATGTTGAATAGTTACAATGCACATACTAGATGAATTAATGCAGGATGAACTGGCCCCGCATTGTGAGCCCATATGACCACCCTGTGGGATTGGTAACTCTGATTCGTATATCTGAGACCTCTCATTAGTACAGTTTTGTAAAGGCACAACACAATTCGAAAAGTCAATGTTATCAGCATGGATATTATCTATTGCAAAACTATTTACATAGTCAGAGTTCATTTCATTATGGATATCATTCGACGGTCCAATTAAGGGCCCATGAGTTTCTTCGCAAACAGCCTCCTTCTTTGATGCTTTGCATTGTTTTTTCCACTGCAAAGGAAAGAACATGGAAACCATTAGACAGAAAATAGACTTAAATAGTCAATGTTAACTGTTAAGTGTAAATTGAAACCGGGAGTCACAGTAAACTACCATCACAAGTCACAACGGGGTTATCTTGTCCCGCAAAGAACAGTGAAAATTTAAGAATTGCTTCATGTTTGAGACTTGAGTCTCACACCTCAATATTGAAGAAATGAGAGATGGGATGTAAGATATTGGATTGAGCTAACTAATAGAATGGATTCTAATCTTTTAACAGGTTTGGTCCAAGCACCTTAAGGTCCAATTGAAGAACTCCATCCGAATCCTAACTTTATAAACTCCAAACTTCACCCAGCTTATTTTGTCAACGCTCAATTGCTTAGCGTTAGTAAAATCATGCTCTCTCGCTTTGTACATTTGATGGAATCATGGAACATATGAATTATCGATACAAATAGTGGGAAGAGAACAGAACGCGCAGAGAATTGTATGCATTTATGTATGTTTCATCTTAACATAAATTTTTACGTCCACTCTTATGTGTCTTATGTGGTCGGGAGTAAGAGAAAGCACCTTAACAAAATCAAGCTCCTTAACCCGGTAGAAATCGATTTTGTCCATTGCACCGCCGTGTTTCCATAGGAATCCTTTCAATTTCTTCAAATGGTCCTCGCTAGCCAGATGCGCAATAGCATTTTCACTAAACCGTAGTGTTCACAACAAAACAGTATCGGTAATACTTCAACAACACCTTATCAACATGAATTCGATCTATGAATTGCTTTGAACCGTACCTGGTGTGGAAGCTGTGGAGCTCAAGGATATCGAATTGGCAGAACAAGCACCAGAGGCGATTGAGAGGGGCTTGTTCGGGACGAAGAGGGGTAGGGTTTTTTAGGAAGAAGCGGATGTCAGCGAGTTTCGATCGGAACCGAGAGAGCGCCGCCTCCAGAGATTTCTTGTGGCTGGGGAAATAGTTGTGCTTCCTGCCTTGGTTGTGATTCAGTTTGCAGACATCGCAGAACTCAAAACCATTGTTGGTCTTCTTCTTCATTCGCTTTACTCTCTGATGTTGATGGGGGATTTCCTGAGTTTAGTTGGCCATTCTATTGGAAGGCATGCATGTGTCTACTTTGGAACCATTCTATTTGACATTGAACAAGAAACTACATAAAAAAACTTACGAAATCACAAAAACTAGAATCTTGATAAAAAAAATGATAAATAAATTAAAAGATTAAAAGTGATTTATGTTGATCAAGTAAATAGAAATTGGGACAGTAATAGAGGGAGGGAGGGAGTATCATGTTTAAGTTCTGGTACATCCCAAACATGACTGTAATTACTCTTATTTAGAAATAACAAATGACTGTCTTATTTTAGAATACACAAACGTTTTACTTCTATTTTTTATGTATGTAATGGACATTTCTGTGTGTTAATCCTATTAAGTTTGGAATGAACAAAAATAGGACCAAACTTTGGTTTAGATAAAAGAAAAAATGGACAAGAATAATCTCAACTATTAGTGATCTGCTTGAAATAATCTTTTCAATAGTTGAGATTATTTTGAGATAATTGATACTTTGGACAAGAATAATTGAAAAATGGACAAGAATAATCTCAACTATTAGTGATCTGCTTGAAATAATACAAAGTATCAATTATCTCAAAATAATCTCAACTATTGAAAAGATTATTTCAAGCAGATCACTAATAGTTGAGATTATTCTTGTTCTTTTTTCCTAGATGAAAAGCACCTTATTACGGCCGCACCGACCCTCAAGAACATTTCAGCCGCTATAAGAACAACATGTTGATGGTGAATGCGTCGGACGCATACCTCTGCCGCTGATTCCTCTCCACTCTTGAAGGGCCAGCGTACGAATGGTTTAACGTGCTCCCTGAAGCAAGCGTAGACTCATGGCAGGATCTCGCCCAACGTTTCCTCACCCACTTTGCTAGAAGGAAGCGCGTAAAGAAATACTTCACACATCTCCTCTCTTTCAAGCAGCAGCATGACGAATCACTCCGGTCTTTCATCGACCGGTGGACAAAGTAGACCGACGAGGTCGAAGGGGCTGATGAGCGCACCCTCCTTGTCCTTTACCAGGACGCCCTTTGGAGCACCCCATATGCAAGAAGCCTAATCACTGACCCGCCGAGGTCATACACGAAGGCACTCCAGCGAGGGAACCTATACGCCCACACTGACGAACTCCACTCCCACAAGAAGGATGGAGGATAACCCTCGAAGAAAACAAACTCCGCGCAAGCTCCTAGCGCACCCTCGGCCGGGGACCAGAGACAAGGAGGACAGAACCGCCAAGGGTCTGGCGGACAGAACAAGAAGGATTGCCCATGGCGTCCGAGGATGGAAAGGCCGAGGACCCCCTCACACACTCGGTCAGCTCCATCCTCGATTACGCCGAGGAACATGATCTCATTGCGAGAGACCCTCGGTCGGCGAAGGAAATCTATGTCGTTCATCAGGGCGGCACCTACTGCCGTTACCACAAGAACACCTCCCACAACACTGATGATTGCGTCACGCTGAAGAGAGCCATCGAGCGCCAAATTCGGCAGGGGGAATTCTCCCAATTTGTTAAAGGTGGCCCACGTAAAAATACTTGGGTAAACACCGGCAAAAATGGGGGAGAACCCTCGACGAAGAAGCGTGAGATCGGTAGACTCAGCGACGATGAAGAGGACTTCGAGGAGCCCCATCCGAAGAAGAACCACATTCACCTCATTGTGGGAGGCAACACTGGGGGGACTCCACCACCCAGAGAAAGAAATGGGCCCAATCCCTATACATCGGCGAGGTGTCCCATGCTCCCCCCAGTCAAAGAAGCAGCGGACGGAGGCGATCACCTTCACCGACAAGGATTTGCCTCCAGGCCCCGCATCACACAGGGATGCCCTCGTCATCCGATGTGAGATAGGCAACTCTATCATCCACCGCACTTACATCGATACGGGGAGCTCCGTCAACGTCATGTACCTTGACACTTTCAAGCAATTGAAGTTGGATAGGGCACTGCTCAAGCCGATCCGGACACTGTTGTCCGGCTTTACCGGGGACTTTATCGACGCCGAGGGCACGATAGTCCTCCCCGTGGAAGTCGGCGACGGCTCCATTCACACCAAAATTGACATGGAGTTCATGGTGGTCAACCTCGAGTGTGCCCACAACCTCATCTGGGGGCGGCCAACATTAGAGGGAGGACCTGGAGGCCATCATCTCCATGAAACACTTATGCTTGAAGTTCCCCACCAATAGCGGCATCGGCTACGCTAGGGGGAACCAGAGGATAGCGAGGGCATGCTACCTCAAGCTGAAAAAGCCAGCTGGAAACGCCGAGCAAAGAATAGACATCATCACTACGACCGTCGCCAAGGACGAAGAAAGGCCGCATGCTGAGCCGGTCGAGGACACCGAGGAAGTCCCCTTGGATGTCTCTCGGCCGGAGCGAGTCCTGAAAGTTGGGAGACAACTCCCACAGGACCAACGTGACAGCATCTTCATGGTCCTGCGGTCATATGTCGTCATCTTTGCATGGGGACCGTAAGACATGCTAGGCATCAGCCGGAAGATGATCACCCACCGGCTATCAGTCGATCCAACCTCCACACCAGTCAAGAAGAAGAGGTACTACCTCTGATCCGAGAGACGAGACTTCGTCGGGGGGGGGGGGGGGGGTCACCATGCTCCTCTCCATCAGCCACATCAAAGAGGTGAAGTACCCAACATGGCTAGCCAACGTCGTCCTCGCCCAAAAGCCGCCAACATTCAGAATGTGCGTCGACTACACTGATCTGAACAAGGCGTGCCCTATGTACTCGTTCCCTCTCCCCAGCATTGATCAGTTGGTGGACGAGACGACGGGCTGCGAGCTGATGTCGTTCTTGGACGCCTTCAGAGGGTACCACCAGATCTTCACGCACGAAGATGACGCCGAGAAGACGGCCTTCATGACCCTGGAGGGAATTTTTTGCTATCTTGTCATGGCTTTTGGGCTCAAAAAATTCAGGCGCCACATACACCAGGATTGTAGCCAAAATCTTCAGAGCAGTCCTCAGCCGGACGATGGAGGCATACGTCAACGACATGATCGTCAAGAGAAAACAATCTACCACCCATGCTGATGACCTCCGAGAAATCTTTGAGATCATGAAGAAGTTCAAGCTCCGCCTCAACCCGAAGAAATGCACCTTCGGTGTCCAAGGCGGCAAGTTCCTTGGCTACATGGTCAGCCGAAGGGGAATTGAGATCAATCCGGAGAAAATCCAAGCAATCATGAATATGGAGCCACCACGCAATGTCAAAGAGGTACAACGGCTGACGGGACGTCTTGCGGCCCTGAACCGCTTCCTCTCCAAATCGGCTGAAAGATCTCTCCCCTTCTTCCAAATCATGCGCAAAGAAAACAACTTCAACTGGACGACGGAGTGCCAGCAAGCATTTGAGGAGCTGAAACAGTACCTTTCATCCCCTCCTGTACTATCCAAGCCCAAGCCCAAGCCCAAGCCCAACGAGACGCTCTTCTTGTACTTAGGGGTGAGCACATCGGCCATCAACTCCGTGCTCATCCGCGAGGATGAAGGGGTACAAAGGGCCATTTTCTACGTCAGCAAGACGCTGCGGGAGGCGGAACTCAGGTACCCCCCCATCGAGAAGACAGTGATAGCCATTGTCCACATGGTGAAAAAATTGGGGCACTATTTTCAAGCGCACTCCGTCCACGTCCTCACTCAGCAGCCCTTGGCGCATTCATGCGGAGCCCAACTAGTTCCTCAAGGATGGTGAAATGGGCGATCTTCCTCAGCCAATTTCAGTGAGGGAGACGGCCGCCACCATATCCGGGTCAGAGCCAGACGAAACATGGACCCTATTCACTGACGGTTCATCAGCCGCCAAAGCATGTGGAGGCGTCGTCGTCCTCATCTCCCCTGAAGTATTCAGGGCCTACTATGTAATACCCAAGATTAATTTAAGAGGATTAATAGTACTACTCATACCAACAGAGGTGCATCTCCTTTTAAGGGAGCTCATCACCCAAGAACTCCAAAGTTAAGCGTGCTTGCACGAGAGTAGTCTTGGGATGGGTGACCCCCTGGGAAGTTTCTCAGGGCGTGCATGAGTGAGGACAAAGTGCGCGGAAAAGGCTAGTGGCGGTTTGTGAGGACAGTACTAGAGGTCTAGAGTAACTACCTCGGGTCCGTGTGGGGCCCCGGGGTGTTACAGGTGGTATCAGAGCAACCCTGCGACAGTGTGCTGACCCGTTAGATATCGGGCGGGCACTTAGCGGGGCAAGATTCTGGGGTTTTATTGAGATTGGTTTAAGGGCGCAACGAGGACGTTGCGATCCTAAGTGGGGGTGATTGTAATACCCAAGATTAATTTAAGAGGATTAATAGTACTACTCATACCAACAGAGGTGCATCTCCTTTTAAGGGAGCTCATCACCCAAGAACTCCAAAGTTAAGCGTGCTTGCACGAGAGTAGTCTTGGGATGGGTGACCCCCTGGGAAGTTTCTCAGGGCGCGCATGAGTGAGGACAAAGTGTGCGGAAAAGGCTAGTGGCGGTTTGTGAGGACAGTACTAGAGGTCAGAAGTAACTACCTCGGGGCCTACGGGGCCGGGGTGTTACATACTATGCCATCCGCTTCAACTTCAGGGTGTCCAACAATGAAGTCGAGTATGAAGCCCTCCTCAGCGGCCTCACACTCGCAGCCGGCCTCAAAGCGCGACACATCAAAATCAAATACGACTCCAAGCTGGTGGTGGGCCAGATCGAGGGCTCGTAGGAGGTCAAGGAAGGGAGGATGAGCCAATACAAACAAGCGGCTGAGGAGTTTCTCAAGACATTTGAAACCCATGAGATCACACAGATCCCAAGGGCGGAGAATGCCATACCGACATTCTCTCGAAGCTCAGCACGGACACTCCGGAGCGCATCTCCAAGATAGCCAAGATCGAGGAGCTCAACACGTCCAGCATCTATGCCAGCCCGGTCATGTGCATTCAACAACGCCCAGAGGACTGGATATCCGACATCATGACCTTCATCACTTCGGGAGAGCTACCCCAGGACGAGGAGAGCGCCAAACTAGCCAAACTCAGGGCCCCGAACT